ATATTTCGAAGTCATTTTCCGAAGGAGACAGCACATGCGCTTCAATGTGGTGGAGGACCGAAGCCCCAGAAACTCGAAAGCGGTCACCCCACTCTCTGCGACCAACGTTGCTTAACTGCACCCGATTTGTGACCTGTCCGCTGTATACAGGACCACGTGCCACAATCACTGGTAGACAATTGTAACTGACGGTATGCTCCGCGAACTAGAAGACTGGTCTACATCCGTATACATATTATGTTCTTCGATACGGTGACCCACTATTCCTCTGGAAGCCCCGACCCCTGGGTAATCCTGGCCTGAGTGCTATTTAAGTATTATAATCTACACTCACAGGATCAATATATGTGACATTCACCATGACTCAACAACATCATGCAATTCACAATAGGACCGTAAATATTCAGTACCGGTTGATGTTTGACTTCAAACATCGTGGTTAAGGAGAATCACGTTCAGGTTTCAAACATAAATGGATCTGAAGTGTGTACATGTTTCATGTTTTATTCATTACCTTCGTGGGACAAAAAACATACCTATTGTATGTTGTATTGATTGGCGCAGACATCCGGGCCTGGATATTTTTCATGACATTCTTCATCCTAGGCATATGTCTCCATTCTTTTATGATAAATACGAAAGTGGTAGAGTATCCTTGTGGTAAAAGCCTTCGCTCGTCACGCCGAAAGCCCGGATTCCCCAAATGGGAATATTGTGTAAAGCTAATTTCGGTTGCCCTCCGCTGTGATATTACTGGAATCTTCCTAGTGGCCATTTCTGAGGATCGATGCTCTTGATCTCAATCACTTGATTTTCTGGTCCAGACTTGATTATTTTTCAGACCGCCGTCATATAGCTGGAATATTGCTGAGTGCGGCATTAAACAACAAAACAAACAAACAATCCTAGTTACAACGATATGGCATTGCATTTAGCGTAATATCCATGCTGTTATACAGCCAGTTGTTGAATTGCTTGAAAAGGTACAAGTATGTGTACCGAAACGTCGCACTGACAAAATAAAGAGATTGAACGCTATAAATCAACCCAGCTTAGTCCCCTAAGTAGCTGGTCGTTTTATCTAACCCTTACATGATACTGAAGTATAGTTCCAACTTTAGTTTTGTGTTCGCCTTGAATATAAGAACAAACAAACTATAACAAGTAACCCTACCGGCGCCCCACCTGGCGTCAAGCATATACCATGCATATGACCATTTAACCAACGCATAATTCTGTATTTTCATATACTTAGCGAAATCCACCGGATTACCTACCGGATTAACACTTTTCTGGATAAACGACATGGTTGCACGGAGTACTGCCGTTCCTAGGAGTAATCGCCCGTAGAAAAGGATTTTACCAGGTCTCTTTCTACTCATAATCACAAACACACAGCCGTTACGAAGGTTCCGAACCACATGAAGCATATAGAGTTATATTTCACCTACATTTGCTTTAAAAGATTTTTTCGGAAATTCGCCTGAATATATCTGGGCCAATAGTTTTAACGATGACTCATTGTACTCCTAATCAGAAAAATACCGCCGTTGCGAAGGTCCCTAACCATATGGATTATATACAGTAATATACAACAACACTTTGCTTTGAAAGGTCTTTTCGGAATTTCCCTTGAAATTCACTGGGATAGAGGGCTAATACGTTTGTTTTCAGGCCACTTCTAAACACGACATTTGGGTCATTATCGTGATTTATAGAGCTTATTTAAGACCACCTGATAGCCTATCTAATATTGTAGCGGATCCGACCCCGGGCACGTACCCGTTACAGAGCTTGTCACAACCTTATCATAATATAAACACACATACTCAACTCGACCGCCAGTTATCATGAAGTAATGACAGAGTCTGGAGGACCCAAGACCATTCAACCAATCAAATCACTTCATTTCACGCGGACGTCAGAGTAGACAATCTTAACTGTCATATTCAAGTGGATTGGTCAATAGGCACAACTGGCTATTAATATATGTCAGATTTATAGACTCGCTTAAATACTTGTGATTTAGATGGCATGGATCATATGCCTCGTGTTCACTGTTGATAAAACAGAGTAGAGTGTTAAACAATTGTGGCCCGAGACAACCTTGTTGTTTGTATACAGAGTCGACATCAACATCAACTTTAGTTCCGAATAATTAAATTTTCGTTGTGTTCATTGAAATTCCTGTATTCTGATTAGCTGAATTGGTCACGTGTTATTGCATTCATTTCCCAATGAATGTAAACAATTAAGCCACGCCCACCGAGGCGCACTATTTTTTATGTCGGGGAATCCCAATATTACAGCCGAGGGAATTCCCTTTCTGCTCACGTGTATCATCATGCACAGGACATTTAGCGACTTTCATGCATATTCATTGTCCAAACAAACCTTTGAAACCGAAGGCCGAGAATGAATGAAACAGCAAACGTGCAGGCTCGCTCGCCTGTTTTTTTCCCGCTCGCCTCGGTTCCACAACTTTCATGTCTTCGGGTTTCCTTTCTAACTAACATTTTTCCAACTGTGTTTTACCGTAATCTGGGAAGTAATGTTTGAATCTGGCGGTAACTGACCATGTAATTTGAAACAGCCGCCTTCTCCCGGACATATTTCTTCCAGTTCGTTACAGTCTGACTGTTGCAGTTCTTTTCGCCTCTTGTCTTAACTGACAGGTCCAATGAACATTGTTTTGATCTGCTCTCCGTTGATTGGCTACTCACAGTGAAGGCGTGTCAATTTATGTGCATGAATTAAACAATCACCTGATTCATGTCACGCCACAGTATGTGTTCCTACACCTACGCGGATTCATACAGTTTGCACATTGGTTTTTCGATTCATACCTCAATGAACCGAAAAAAATACACAGTCAATCCTTAAGTGTAATTATGGGTGATGGGTGTTTCCATACAGACTGACATATTAAGAAGTAAGAAAATATTTGTACACTACATCTGGATAATATCAACGTTGTTACAGATGTAACTAGCTTTCAAACTGCGAGGTATTGCTTGCTGTTAAATGGGAGTTAACAGGTGGTGAGGGGGCGAATCGACCTGTGTGTGTGCGTGCGTATATATGTGGTATTCACGATGACTCAACAATATCATGCAACTCACATTAGGGCCGTAAATATTCAATTTGGTTCTATTCACACCAGACGTACAAGATGAAATGTCTTGTTGGTGCCCCAGTACGCGGTCTTTTCCCGCACATCCAGGCAACTTACCACCAATCTTCCACTACTTACAGTGTCACCTGGCCTGAATGCTATTTAAGTATTATAATCTACACTCACAGGATCAATATATGTGACCCTCAGCAACATCATGCAACTCACAATAGGACCGTAAATATTCAGTACCGGTTAATGTTTGACATCAAACATCGTGGTTAAGGAGAATCACGTTTAGGTTTCAAACATAAATGGATCTGAAGTGTGTACATGTTTCATGTTTTATTCATTACCTTAGTGGGACCAAAAACATACCTATTGTATGTTGTATTGATTGGCGCAGACATCCGGGCCATGATAGTAGTCATGTCATTATTCATCCAAGGCACATGCCTCCATTGAATTATGACACAGGGGACGTCTATAGGGTAGCCTGGTGGTCAAAGTGTTCGTTTGTCACGCCGAAGGCCCGGGTTCGATTACCTACATGGGTTTTTTGTTTGTGTGAAGCCAATTTTGGTGTCCGCTGTGATATTGCTGGAATATTGCTAAAAGTGACGTAAAATGCAACTCACTCACTATCATCATGTAATACCCTTGACCCCCTTGCCACCAAGGTTTCGTTTCGGAAGTGAAGTGACCATTCCAATCTTTCCCATCAGTAACTAAGCACCGAATATCTCTCTTATATCAAAATAAAATCGATAAATGCGCATATAACTTGTTGACTCAAAGTTCTGATAATGATAGTGAGTGAGTGAGTGAGTGAGTGAGTGAGAGAGGTTTTACGCCGCCTTTAGCAATATTCCAGCAATATCACGGCGGGGGACACCAGAAATGGGCTTCACACATTGAACCCATGTCGGGAATCAAACCCGGGTCTTCGGCGTGACGAGCGAACGCTTTAACCACTAGGCTACCCGACCGCCCCCTGATAATGATACGCTAACTATTGTTCGAGATAGCCGAGTCGAGTGTCGATAATAGATCATATTCTGTCAGGACCACGGATTAACACGGATTGACACGAAATAACCATATTCGGGCTGTTTGTTGGTGTTGGAAGAAAGAACACAGGTTGATCTAGAGAGGGTTTACTGATCAACCCTCTCTAGAAGTAGCCCCGTTCCTGCCGTATGGAACCCTGTATTTGTACAAGAGATTGCCGATTTGATAAGTGCCAAACCAATACAACAAACTATTTACACAGCTGATAAATACGCACAGACTTTACCTAAAGTTGACAAATACGGACGGCGACGATGTCGAATGTTAAAAGATGAGGTCTAAAGTTAAACAGACTTAGTTGGGTTATCGTATGACCCCTTAGAAATAGAGAGCTCCATGTTGGAGAAGGTGACTTACATGGGATCTGTGTTGTGTTCTAGTCAAGAGGGTAGCTTATCTACCCGTATTGTTTTAAGGAAGTGGGGAATTAACATTCACGGGTTGCCATAACACGCGGTGACCGGTGTTACAAAGTTATGGAACACTGAAAATGAAGGTTATTATAGTGGCGTATCTGTTGCACGAACTACAGTGTGTTATAAAACAAAAAAGTGTTTATTCGTGGTATCCTGTACTGTCCTCAATAGTTTGTGTCACTGGCTTGGCCCACCGTCGGCTGACATAGGTCGCCCGGTACGGAAGTCTACTAAGACAGTCAAAATTAATCTAGCACTTCTTTATCATTAATCCTGATCAGAAACAAAATTAATTCCATCATATATTTCCCTGTGTATTGTCAACCGTGCCTTTCCAAATACCGATTGTAAATGCTGTGATATAAAATATTTCATCTCCAAACTTTTTTTCACTTCAGCATGAGCCAATCAGAAGTTTTCCGTCCAGCTAATGGGGACTTGTATGTCCGAGATCCGGTAGCGAACGGCGTTCCGGTGTCTGCTGATGCATTCCGAAAGACGACACTTCAGAGGCCGGCGACACATAGTGGATACCGGTTCGGCAAGTTGAGCCACAACTCGTTCTTCACCCGACACAATCCACATCCCAACCGAGTCAGACACCTCAAAGGTACCATCACTTCACATATGTATTTCTCCTCAACCATACTCAAGGATTACAAAACTAAAAATATGTAATAAATACGTTTTGATTAGTCCAATGACAGAAAGTCGGATTCTGTATGGTATGACAGTTGGACACCTCGAGGGGAAGACTAGTAGGTTAAAGTGTTCGATGCCCTTCATGGGGATTTTGCATGAAGCCAATTGTCGGTGTCCTCAGCTGTGATATAGCTTGAGTATTACATAAAGCGGCGTTATGCCATACTTGCTCTCTGGCCCAGAGTCCTGAAACATGGGGGAAAGATAAGGGCCTTTTTTGGCCATTGAAAATGTCAAATTTTGAAGTTGTGGAAAACTTTGAAATAATGGTATGAAAATTATCGGACTTCTTCAAATGGCTGACAACTAGCCTTTTTCTTTTTTACACGTGCACGTTTTGGGCTTAATACAAATAGTTATGGCTAAAATGAGTGAAATTACTGGGAAAATGACACAAGAAAACCTTTTTAATGAGCCTTTTTGAAACATTTCATCCTTCCCGTTCAGATTTGTCATAAGTCAAACACGCCATTGTTGCAATAAACAAAGTTTTGTTCCCATTCATATGAACAAGTCTGATAACAATAACAATTTCTAATAGTTTAGCCCTACTCTTAAATTATGTATATATCCTGTGGGCCGTAAAGAGCCCTTGTCATACCTTGTCCTTTGTTTTAGCAATAGTATCTTTTAATGTATTCGACAGATCTTGATTTGTTTGTTTCATGAAGCTTCAGGGCCATATTTCAAACACTGACCCTTCTATCATAGGTCTCCTTGACATCCCAATCTGCTCCGTCAACGACGATGGCTACTTCGCTTCACCCCGTTACAGCCTCCAGTTTCCCCCGAATAGTTACAACACAAATAAGCTTTCAAACAGCAGGATTCCCGTCAACGCCATCAACGTCAACTCCCAGCTGTACCCCATCAACACCATTACCGGCCTGCAGTATTTCACCGGACTAAACAGCTTCCCCTTCCGGGAGAAGGCCATTCCCAAGGTCGGAATGGGTAGGTAACTCTCAATATCTCCAAAATGTAGAGAACTCTGCGTTGACTGCGCTTTTATAAATCCTTGTGAATGGTTATTTTTTTTGTTTTCCTTTCCATCTGCTTTTAACTGTAACTGTGCTCAGGTCTTTCTATATAAACTACCAGGGAAAAGAAAGTATACGCTTGAAAATTGGATTTGACGAAATAATTACAAACGTTTACTTATCAAAATCGTTACCAGGCTGAAAAAATGTCGTCGAAACACTACAAACTAAAGGTCCAAAACACAACTATGAAACCCGTATCAAAAACATTACCATCGAATAACCATTTCGTGTTGGTTTCATGGATGTATACTACTTTTTTACCCGGCAGTTTAGATGATTTTACTCATAGTATTTTGTTTGGAGCAAGTAGGCCCTTTTTACTACCCAGTGGTATAAGCGTTCGCTCGTCACGACAAAGGCCCGGGTTCGATTCCCAATATTGGTCCCATGTGAAGCGTTCGCTCGTCACGACTAAGATCAGCATACCATTTCCCACATGGGTAAAAAGTGTGAAACTCATTTCTGGTATCCCTGCCGTAATATCGCTGGAATGTTAAAAAAGCGACGTAAAAACATATCACTGACTCACTAAGTACGTACAGCTACCACATTTTACAAAACTTATTATAAATCTGATTACACCTATAAACATAGAGGAAAAGACAATATTTGGGGCAATGGCGTCTCGGTGTGAACACTCTAACAAGTATGGTTCAGACACTTTGCAGGCACTTATCGATCTGATCGGCGGTGCCCTTCACAGATATGCTCTTCTGTTGATTCCATGGAGATAATACGTAATAGTTTCTGTACAACACGTATCCTTCTTTATAACCCCGTCTGTCTCCTCCAACTCGCTAAAGGAGTGACAACCTTACCTTGCACACAGTAGAATGCGGTTTCAAATACCTCCTCCACTAAATACCTACTGATATAATGCACAAAATATCCACCTACTTCATGGACAATGACATACTTTGATGCTGACTACATGGCAGAAAGATCAGAGTGAGTAAGTGAGTATGGTTTTACGCCGCTTTTAGCAATATTCCAGCAATATCACGGCGGGGGACACCAGAAATTGGCTTCACACATTGTACCCATGTCGGGAATCGAACCCGGGTCTTCGGCGTGACGTGCGAACGCTTTAACCACTAGGCTACCCGACCGCCCCCAGATAGATCAGAAACCAATACGACTTGTGTGAATAATAATGCTTCTTTGATACAACGGTGACCATTGGCTTTACAATTATCAGTAGAATAGCGATCCCTGACCTTGCATTTAGAACATCAGAGTGACCTACGTTTCTGACATGAGGTCATCATCTGAAGAAGATGGTCGCGCATGAAGGTCAACCTTAGGTCAAAGGTTACAATTGTAGCATTCAGGCATGTCTTCACCCCTTGTGTTGCATTCACCTGTTATTTATCCGTCTAAGAACCATATAGTAATCAATACGTTCTTGTTATGCATGCCTTGTCATGTACAGTCACCCTGTTGTTCTGTCATCAGCTGATGAAGATGGTCGCGCATGAAGGTCAGCCTAAGGTCAAAGGTTACAATTGTAGCATTCAGGCATGTCTTCACCCCTTGTGTTACATTCACCTGTTATTTATCCGTCTAAGAACCATATAGTAATTAATACGTTCTTGTTATGCATGCCTTGTCATATACAGTCACCCTGTTGTTCTCACATGATCCAAAAGTGTCTGATGCAAGGTGGTCCTGAGTAACATCTCCTTGTTGTTTTCGATCACCATACTACACCCACAATGCAAACATTATGTTGTGGGCACACAGTCAGACCTACAGCTGTGATACAAGCTGCAAATATTACATTAATATTTCACCTGAAGAGCGTGCTTCACTGCAGCTACCAACAATAGACATCAGATCGGCTCTATAACTGGTTTAGATTCGACAAGCGGAATTAATCTTACTCAGAGAATCACACTGCAGGCAGGTGGCCGGTCTTTATAAGAAGTCGGTGTTTATGTTCATTATATATTCATTGCATACAACCCCGTAGGGATTCGGGGTTAGAACAGGACCCAAGGGACCTATGTTGCTTGTACGGGGCGCCTTAACGGCTGATCGGATGGTCAGGCTAGGTGATTTGGTCGATTGCGTGTCATCGCATCCGGGTGCGTGGATAGTTGCTCATAATATCAACCACTGGGTTGTTTGGTCCAGATTCGAATAAATTCGTACCGTGATATTGCTTGAATGTTGAACAACAAACAACTATTACTTGCAATAAATTCCTTTATGGGACAGGACAAAATTGCACTGATCACCCTGCCACACATGAGGGAAGGAGGTCGCATGTCCAGGGGCCCGTTGCACAAAGCTTAAGTGACCCCCATACTTTAACATAGGCTTACTTTTATCGTAGCGCTGTGATCTCTTTGTGGAACTGGGCCTTGCTGGATTATCACGTTAACATATGGATTACTTTGAATTTAGCAAGACAGCTTCATATCTGTTACCTTAACATTTCAAAACGTTTGGCATTGACAAATGTTCTTCTTTAGCGCACATCTGTACCATTAGTCATGTGACTGAAATATGTACTTTTTAAACCATGTCAATTCTATGGTGGTAAACAGTGATTCAAACAATCTTTCATTACCACATTTCTCTGACTAATTGTTACAATACTGTCATTCACCCTGCTCATTGATTTGGTTATTGATGACATATCGATCTAAGGTGCAGATTATAGAGTTTTCACCTGCCACACGCTAGACAGACGCGCTGTGTTGAGTAATCAGGCTTGATCAATGACGAACACTCTCGTGAAGCCGAATAGAAGTCTCAGATACACATCATACAACGTGGAATCGATCTACAGTTCAAAATTTAGCTCTTCCAAACGCCACACGCGCGGTATTGCTCAATAAATGCCAGCGTTTAAGGGATTAAGCTTACTCAATATTTAATCCAGTCTGTTGTAAAAACAGATACGGTCAGTTAACAACACCTTTGTGCCAGGCAGCAGAAGGCCTAATCGATACATGAGATAATCCCTCCGCCAGTGGAGCTTATGTAGCGTTCTGTACTAGACAAGGAATTTTGTCTAATGGACAGTAAATGGCGGGATAGAAGTAACCACAGAGTTAGGTTTAACTCGGCTTTGAACAGTATTTCAGTTATATCACGGCGTGTCAGCTCGGTGTTGGCTGAAAACACTAAGGAACGCTGTTGGTCGACGTCTATCACTAGACCACGGAGGCAGTCTCTTTGGAGTTTGAAAAATCTACCTTTTACTAATATTAGCCATATTTACGTAACTGATCATGTCAGAAGTTCACATATTGCAAGTGTAAGGAAGAAAAAAAGACAAATGACTTCAGCTTTGTGATTGCATAATTCCCGTACAACATGACCCAAATCAAATTGAATTATTTGATAGGCATTACTTAGAAGTTGACGGATGACAAAGTAGACACAATTTATGGATAACAACATCTTTATTTAATGTAAAGAAGTTGTTATCCATAAATTGTGTCTACTTTGTCGAATCAAATTGCTAGAACGCTAATGGCGACTTGTCAGTAACACCAATTGAGATACGATCGTACATGTATATACATATAGATATACAAACGTAGTTCCAGAGGGTGGCCCAGTCGTCTAAGGTGCCGCGATTCGCTGTGCAGAGTTGCGTCCCTTGGGCACACCAGAAACCTCTGATTGAGGGTTCGAATCCCGGTTGGCCCCGATTGTGTTTCTAGGTTTGTTAGCACCATACCCGTGCTCGTGGGTTTCACCGAAGTGGTAAACGTCTGAGACCTGCATCACTTCGGGCTTTCCTCCCACATTAAGCTGACACGCCGCGATATAACTGGAATACTGTTAAAAGGGGCGTGAAACCCAACTCACTCACTCACTCACTAATTCCAGAGCGTGTCCGTGACCTTCAACTCACTAAGAACAGTGTGCATTTGTCTTACTATCATCCGAAAACAAAGGCCGTCTTTACTGTTCACCGACGTGTTAACGTTACAGCGTTAACGTCTTGTCGGCACTGCTCGCAACACACAAACAAGCTCAAAGACAGTCCACTTTTTATGAATAGTTCCTCTTCACGCAAATAAAATATATTGATTGTGAAACGCCCCATAAACTACTCCCAAGTACTCTATTGGAACCAAGGCATTCAGACTTAATCAGCGGAGCGACATGTCGACCTTGTTCAAACGCGGCGGCCGTGTTTCGACCTACGTATTATTAATGGTTGGCTAGTGCATTGCCTTGCAGTGAATCCTGATGTATGTTATGTGGTGGTTATTCTCCCTACTCTGCTGACACGCCGATGAATGGCAGGGGACTAGTGTATAGAGAAGCCATACGCTCTGACAACCAGGGCATAATACGGGGCAACATGATAAGCGTAGGGTGACAGAGAGGTTGTATTTTATGGAGTGGCGGTGTATAGACAGGGGGTACAACAAGGCGGGTATATACTCTAGTTCACACATACAAGGAGGTGATATACACTTGTCCTTGAATCTTATTTTCGACAGCTGCCGCCAGTTGACCAGTTGGTAATGTGAACAGTTACATAAAGACTTCGCCGAACTAATATCCCCTGCTGGTGCACCGAAAGCCTCATTTACGTTTTTTAAACTATTATTTTATATGACTAATAGTCAGGTTTGAATATTTTTTTTGTGGATATTCTTTTTTCATATCTTCATTTTTAGCTTTTAAAGGTTGATCAGGTCTCATACCAAATGGTGTATGTTATTATGTATGTAACTGTGTATGTAGTGTAATACAAAACATGAAGCGTTAATAACATGCTTTTTCTTTTAAGAACTAAAAATAAACACGAAGCGCTGTTGGGTGAATATATTCCTTATTGTACGCCTTTACTGCTCGCATAATGAGATTGGACACTGTGTACACGGTTAAACGTACCTTTATTATTACGTATATGAAAGCATAATGTCTATGGGGTATCTGCGGGTTACATCGTCTTGTACGACATATCAATATAAAGAGGTAAAGGGGGAGTGTGCGCTATAACCAGGTTCTGCTGAACTAAATTTCACAGGGTATGCTTTGTTTAGGCCACATCAAACATAACGCTATACAGTCGTTGTAATTTTGTTTCGCCCTTCATTAAATATACAAGTACGTCAAACAAAAACTACCTATTGTTAAATATGTACATGTGTATTTATAAACGCTTTTCCTTTGATGTTTGTAAATTACACGACTGTTGACATGCGAGATGTTCACAAAACACAATTTAATTCTAACAAATGCGTTTGATGAAATTTTGATGATGAGGAAAATCAATAAAAGAAGAAGAAAACAGCAAATTATTTGACAGCTCCAAGGATAACAGGATATCCCTGAATTATTCATACCCCAGCAGCGTCCTCTCCCTGGGGAGCTGGAGCTAGATTGGCTGATTCGCTGAACAAGTTTTCGCTCTAAACGGATCAATTACTTGGTGTTAGTATTCATAATCATTCACTTTTTTTATAAAATAGAGTAGGATATGCTTCCCGTGTACAATTGATGGAGTTACCTTAGTTTTTGATTACCGTATGTCCTCTATTAAACACCGGCTCCCATTACACGCCGGTCTCTAATTGACGCCGGATCATAATCCCTGTACCAAACAATAGAGGCTGGGCCCATCACTTGATGAATGTAATGACCCCTATCGCATTTATACTGTCATATGTTGGTGAATAACAATGATAGTTTCCTGCAGATGTACCCTTTACCACTATGTCAGCATTTACAAGAATTTACAAGTCTATAAGGTTTGGCAAGTCTAGATTACTGCAGTATCATGAAAATGAAGAGAGTCACTGGGCTCCCTATTTTTATTAAGATAACTGAACAACTGTTTTTTCTGTACGATATGTTCATTTCAGAGACTAGACGATAGTCTAGGATAAAGCGTTCTCTCGTCCACTCTTAGCCTGCCTCACAGTCCCCCTGAACCATATTATATTCCCTTCCGTTCAGCCGTTTCTGTAATGCAAAGGCCCGAAATGGATCGAGTTTAGATTTTCCTCGGGTTCTGACTCTCCCTTGTCACTTGGGCTCCTTTTCAATTTAAATGTTACTTAATGAGTTACTTACCTTGGGCAATGTCAACCCCGCCACCTTCCCAACCTCTCCCAAACCCCTACGTGCTAAATCAACGTAAAATCATATGTAACCTCGACCATTCATATCAAGTTGAAACTACAATATCCAGTTGGGAAGAGAGGTAACTGATCAATTTCAATTACTGTTTCCCGTATGTCATATCCCCATGTACGTCAATAATGTAAAAACTGAAACGCGTTATATTATACCCTTCGAATCATGATAAACCTGATTGAACCTGTATACATAGCCTATACTGTTCCCCTACAAGTCAGCCCTTAGCGTCATTGATACCAGCGCGAGTAGGTTTTGTCATCAACGTAAACAGGCAGGCCAACATGGGTCAACAAAACCTTTGTGACACGGATCATCATGTGTCTGAGGACATACGTGGGTCTTAGCTGTGGTCTGATAGCTCTGGTTTCATAGTGGTGAAGAAGGTAATTGTTACCGTATTACATCTAATAGGGGCGGTCGGGTAGCCTAGTGGTTAAAGCGTTCGCACGTCACGCCGAAGACCCGGGTTCGATTCCCGACATGGGTACAATGTGTGAAGCCCATTTCTGGTGTCCCCCGCCGTGATATTGCTGGAATATTGCTAAAAGCGGCGTAAAACCATACTCACTCACTCACTATTACATCTAATAACCACACCGCTAATTCCAAGGTTCGGATGGATTGGGATCATTGGTTTGTCAGCACCATACCCGCTCGTGGGCTTCAGTAAAGTGGTACCCGTCTTACACCTGCCTCACTTTTGGATTTTGTTTTACGCCGCTTTTAACAATATTCAGCAATATCACGATGGGGGACACCAGAAATGGGCTTCACACATTTTATCAATGTGGGGAATAGAACCCGTGTCTTCGGTGTGACAAACGAGCGCTTTAACTACTAGGCTACCCTACCGCCTCTAAGGTTACACGTCATGTCAAAACTGAATTACCGTTCGAAACTCCCCCATTCGTACTTTAGTTATGATAGTAGATCGAACGTATTTCCGTGTATTTCCTTGTAATAAAACCACTACTGGATCGTAGGGTAACCTCAAGGCCAGGGTTCGATTACCGACATAGTTACAATGTGTGATGCCCATTTGTGGCGTTCCGCGCAGTGATGTTGGAATATTTCAAGAAGCGTTCACAAATCACTCACTCACTCACGCACTCACTCACTCACTCACTCACTCACTCACTCACTCACTCACTCACTCACTCACTCCAACCAACCAACCAAACAAACAAACAAACAAACAAACAAACAAGCAACCAAACAAGCAAACAACCAACCGATATTGCACTAAACAGAAGACTGCGCAAATCGTAGTTAGATCGCAGTGCTAAGCTCTTGCTTTGCATGTAAGCATTTATTCTAACAATAATTGGCAGAATCACAACAAAACTAGTGTCATTTTCGAATTTCCTTACATGTAGTATCATTTGCACATACGAAAGAGATATTAATTTTCATTTAAAAAATATCTATAGAACTAGAAAGTTTTACCCCGCTTATATTCGAGCAATTTCACTGCGAGGGACATCAGACATAGGCTTTATATATCCATACCCATGAGGGGAATCGGAAAGGAGCCTTCGGCGTGAGGAGTAAATGCCCTACATAGAAGTCTTTAAGATAAAATACCAAGTATTTATTAGAGACAATAGTGTACCTGTCCTCTATACCTGTGGTTGACACTTGAGCGTCTGTGTTACACCTGAACATGGAATCAGGTGGTGTGGGTAGATGCGTGCGACTGACGAAGGCGTATATTCCACAAACATATCAGTATTCTAGACAGATAAGGGTGTAAAAAGCCTTGCACTTCCTGGTGACGGCGCACAACATTGCAGGGTAGACCTTTTATTTTTACTTGTCGAAATCTCTTGATCCAAAAATGATTATTGTTTTGTCAATGTAACTAAATTATAGATAACACGGTTTATCATCCAAAACTGGCTCCCACAGGAGATATCGCTTGGATGAGATCAAGCGATATCTACACTGTAGATATCGCTGCAATGAAATTACATCACAATGCTTTGCAGACCATTGTGACATCACTGGTTACAATGACGTCACAATCAAATGACATCACTAATGGCTCTGATACTGAAGCAGTAAGCAGTATTTTTTACACTGAAAACACTGTTAGTTATTGTCTACAAATTGAAAAAAGTTGGAAGAATGATGTTGGATGATAAATAAAATCTCACCCTCGTGTCTTTTGATATCAAATATATCAACACTCGTTGATAAAAGTGGCAAAAATCCTCGGCAAGCCTCGGAATTTTTCCACTTTTATCAACGAGTGTTGATATATTTGATATCAAAAGACACGAGGGTGAGATTCTCTATTTAATGAATAATATTATGGATCTGAGGCAGTATACAACCTATGCTGCCTTATGAAGCGTTAAACGGTTTACGATATTACCATCTCATCCCACCGGGTACCCACTGACTCTCCAGCCTCTCCCTCATCCCCGGAATGGTAAATGCTCGTCCTTCCATAACAGGCAGACCGCCTCCGTGGTCAAGTGGTAGAGCGTCCGCCCGGAGAGCGGAAGGTCCGGGGTTCGATCCCCGGCCGCGTCATGCCAAAAGACGTTAAATGATGGTACTTGTTGTTACCCTGTCTGGCGCTCGGCATTAAGGGGCTAAAACAAGGACTGGTCGGCTTGGAGTCAGTATACTGTGTCTGAGTGGGGTATTCATGTTAAACTGCGGCATGGTATCTCAGTGGGCTAGCACTAGAAATCGGCATCAGTCCGGAGTAGTACGAGCAGCCACACACACACACACACGTGCATGCACGTCGCTATATAAGTGCAATAATCTTGGACGCGACGTTAAACCCAATTTCACCTCACCTCACCATAACAGGCAGGTCGCTTTGACTGTTTGCACAATTTAGAAATTGCAGGAATACATTGATGGCAAAAGATTTACGGGAAAGAAGATTCACTGCAACGTCGTTGAAAAATAAATATATTGTCATAAAGTTTCAAGTCTTTACAAGGTCTAGTATATGGCTGTGCCTTGTTTGATCCCAGTGGGAATTCCGGGTCAGAAATTGTCCCAAGCAACCTATACTGGTAGTAAGATGCGACCTTATGGATCGGGTTAGGTGACTAAATTGGTTGCGTGTCATCGTTGCACGATGAGGTGGGTCGTTGCTCATACCATCAATCACTTTTTTATCTGATCCAGACTGGAACATTGCTGAGTGCGGCGTTAACAATCAAACATCGTTCTGTACAATGTGCCTGTTTTGTGTCTGCAGTGCCGGTGACCGAGGCGTGGAGGGATGAGTTGAAGGCGTTCACAGAACAACTGAACGCTGCCGAGGAGAGGAAGAGAGACCAGGAGAGGCCGAGAACCACCCAATACTCCGCGGAAACCGGGCGTCTCATCCCACCCCCCTCACGCAACATGTCCCGGGGGGCGTCTAGGAGGGGTAGGCCGCAGTTTGTTCCGAGCATGCAACACATAGCGGCTGAACCTGACATTGAGAATATGGTAAGTATGACGATGTCCTCACAAACATAAGGTTAAACATGAATGTCAACCATTTAACTTATACCTGGACTTTACAATGAGAATTTCGTTGATAAATCACCGATTCTTTTTTATATTCCGTGGTCAAAGAAACATTCCCCTTTAAGACGGATTTTGCGCGATCTGGTGCCTAAGAGGGACTTTGTATAATTTGGAGCCGTTGTGTGACTTTGCGTGAGTAAAGGGTTTAACGCCGCTTTGAACAGTATTCCAGTTGTATCACGGCTTGTCAGCTTAATGTAGGATGAAAGCCCATAGTGACGTAGGTCTAAGACCTTTACATTTTGGTGAAACACACGAGCACAGGTCAGAACCCACGATCATGGTTTTCTGGCGTGCCCAAGGGACGCAACTCTGCACAGCAAATTGCGGCGCCTCAGCAGACTGGACCATCCGCGTCCCGACTTTACATGATCTGGTACCGGTGTCGGACTCTGTATGATCTTCTGCCAACATCTATCTTTCCACGAACTGGAACCAATGTCTAACTTTGCATTATCTGGTATGAATGACTGACCTTGCATAAACTTCTACCGATATCTAACTGTGCATGGACCTGTACCAATGTCCAACTTTGCATGAACTGGTACCAATGTCCAACTTTGCATGAACCAGTGTCATTGTCTGAACTTGTACCAAAATCTTGCTTTGCATGATCTGATAAAATTTCAACCTTTGCATGAACCAGTGTCATTGTCTGAATTTGCATGAACTTGTACCAAAATCTTGCTTTGCATGATCTGATAAAATTTCAACCTTTGCATGAACTGGTAGTATTGTCTGACTTTGCATAAACTGGTATCAATGTCTGACTTTTGCATGAACTTCTTCTGATCTCGGGCTTTGCATGCACTGGTACTAACGTTGGACCACGCACGATTCAGACCAATGTCGGACCTTGCATGAACTGCAACCAATGTCTGATTTTGCATGACCTGGTACCGAAGTCGAACTTTGAATGAACTGTTACCGATCTCGGGCTTTGCATGCACTGGTACTAACGTCGGACCACGCACGATTCAGACCAATGTCTGATTTTACATGAACTGAAACCAATGTCTGTTTTTGCATGACCTGGTACTAACTTCGGGTCATGCATGAACTGGTATCAATGCCTGAATCTACATGAATTGATACCAATGTCTGAATTTGCTTTAACTGGTACCGATCTTGGACTTTGCATGGACAGGTACTAATGTCGGATCATGCATGATTGGTACCAATGTAAAACTTTGCATGAATGTGTAGCAGTGTCTGATGGTACTGGTGTCGTTGTCAGAATTTGTAAAAGCTTGTACCAATGTCTATATTTGCATGAACTGGTATCATTGTCTACCTTTGCGTGAACTGGTTCCAGATGGGGTCCATACATTTAGATTCGTGCCCCGCGTTACAGCCAGGCTCATTAACGGCTAGATTGATATACATAATTCAATTAAATAGCAGCAGGTTATAAGGTGATGGGGTCACTTGAATCAACCGTGCAAGGACACACAGGGCCCGAGGCTCTCTGTAACGTTATATCAGCGTTCAGTCAAATGCTTTTGCATTCGTAACCAAATCGTGTCATTCCGGAACAAGCCGAAAAACCTTCTTGCAGGTTATAGACAGATGAGTAGTAACGAATAATCATTGAGCCGATGCGCGCTGTCCTAGTCTGGACAGGGACCCGTGAAGATCCGGGGTAGAATAGATCTTCAGCAACCTATGCTTGCTGTAAAAAACGACTATGCTTGTCGTAAGAGGCGACTAACCGGATCGGGAGGTCAGGCTCGCTTCCTTGGTTGATGCATGTCATCGTATCCCAATTGCGTGGATCGATGCTCATGATGTCTATCACTGGATTGTCTGGTCCAGACTCGATTATTTACAGACCGGCGTCATAATGCTGGAATATTGTTGAGTGCGGTGTAAAAATAACAAACAAAAAAATAACAAATTTCTTCGGCAAGTCCTATCTACAGCGACAACGCGGAGATTACACCAGCAGTGTTCACAAATATGTACTGCGTAACGTTTATTGATGTCCGCGTGTTTGCACTCTGCAGTCTATTCATCGTTGCCAAGTGGTGTGAGATATCTGCACATTCAACGGGACTCCGGGAGTGCGTAGTTATCTGATTTAATACGCAGTCGTTCAAATGTCAATATCCGACGCCGCTCGATACTCAGATGAACGTATTTACGACTCATCGATGAACATTTTTTGTTAGGCCAAGGGAGAAGTTCAAAAGTTGTCAGATATAAAAAATAATTCTTTAAGTTTGTATGCGTATGTGCATGAGTGAGTGAGTTGGATTTAAGACCGCTTTGAACAGTATTCCAGTTATATCGCTGCGTGTCAGTTTACTGTGGGAGGAAAACCCGAAGTAATGCAGGTCGTAGACGTTTACCACCTTGATGAAACCCACGAGCACGGTTTGGTGCTGACAAACCGGGGACATAATCGGGACTAACCGGGATCCGAACCATCATAAGGTTCTGGCGTGTCCAAGGGACGCAACTCTGCACAGGGCATTAAATTGCGGCGCCTTAGACGACTGATCCCTCGTGCTCCCGGTATCTGTGTGAGGGAGGGAGAGGTTTTCCATCCGTAAAAGTAAACATTTCTTGGTTTTCAAGTCAGTAAATAACTGCCCCCGTCCTCATATCGTTGTTCTGACTTGTATCACTACCGCGAGTACAACGACATAACACAAGCAGGATATTGTGTCAGTTCCCAGCCTACGATATTTGTGTTGGTGAAGCTCTGCTATTATTGTAGGTATTTTCTTTCAAAAATCTCTTTGAGGATGTAAACATTTCACAATTAGGTTTTATAACCACTTCAGGAATTAAGTTTAACCGACATCGAACTTGTGAACCGCCCCCTAACCCTTCAATGACAGTATTGGGATATGTCCTGGCAGCCTAAGCTCCTTTCTCTGACACAGGCCTCGCTGTGTGTACTGTAGCTGTCTTGTGAGGAGTCATCGCGGCGACAGGAGTACTTGTGACACACGGCAACGTTAAGCAGTGATGTCTCCGCAGAAGAAATATACGACTCTCAATCACTGTGGTGTTGACGTGAGATAGGACATACTTTGTTTTTTTTAAAACATTTCCTATTCGAAACTAACTACACCTTTCACACACTGATCGACCGGGTTAAGGCAAATAATTGCTTTAAGATCAATGCTATATCTGAACAAATATAATATATCTGTCAAAACGTCATACAAATAACACCGGCTCTAAAAAGATTCCTATCTATTAGCAACCCGACATTAAAAATCATCTTTTGTAGTATTACATACTAGTGCCACTCAAGCTTCGATAGGATCCTGGGCTATCGTGTACAATGACACAACTCAGAGAACGATTATTTACAGAAATGTGCACTTCTGTATATTGTGTCTTAAAATGAAACTGAAGATGCGCTAGTTCCAAGGCAATGTCTAGTACTATTCACTGGACAACATCCCCAAATCACGTGACGATCCGGGGTAGAATAGGTCTTCAGCAACCCATGCTTGTCGTAACGGGAGCCGACTAACGGGATCGGGTGGTCAGGCTCGCGGACTTGGTAGATGCATGTCATCGTATCCCAGTTGCGTGGATCGGTGCTAACGATGTCAATCACTGAATTGTCTGGTCAAGCGGTATTATTTACAGACCGCGGTCATATAGCTGGAACATAAACAACAAACAAAATACGTTAAGTTATTCAAACTAAAAAGAAGGCAGAGGTTATATGATGTCTGCAAGCGACCGGTCACCATGTTGTGTCGGGGTCAGAGAGACACGGGCACATGGCCAGGAAGACGTTACGTTTGATTAGCCTTCTACTGCGTGTTAACATTTTAACCTAAGTCATCTTCGAGTACGAATAACATGTTGTCGTAATAATATCTTAATACAATTTATTTTCATTTAACTTTATTATCAATTGTTTCTTTAACCTTAATGACAGGCTTTATGTTCTAAATGCCATGTTTGATGTTTAATGTCATGTTTTATGTTCTTAATGCCATGTTTTATGTTCTTAATGCCATGTTTTATGTTCTTAATGACAGGTTTTATGTTCTTAATGAAAGGTTTTATGTTCTTAATGACAGGTTTTATGTTCTTAATGAAAGGTTTTATGTTCTTAATGACAGGTTTTATGTTCTTAATGACAGGTTTTATGTAAATATAAAACGTCAACGACAGGGAATAATCAGTCTCGATAATTAACCGAAACATGACGTAATGCACGTTTACATTTTAGGTAATTGTACATGGGTCAATCATGAGAACACTAATTCTGGCAATAGCGCCTTTGATCCTAACATAAATAAAGCATAGCATGGCTGATTGTTTAACTAAACAGGTAACAATTTCCGACGTTAACGTACTTCTACTTCATCGATATTTTCAAGAAGCCTCATCTCCATCATCACCTTGGGCTGTCATGTCCATGTGTCTTTGCTTCGTCTGACACAACCAGGGTCTCTAATCTCGACAAGCACGCAACCATGCTTCCCGAGAAGGAAATAAGATAAACAGGTTGGGGATTCCGGGGGCTTAAAATCATCACGGCGTCGTTAATCTTTAAATAAATCTCCGAGAGCGCTAAAACGAGTTTTCTTGTTCAGTGGGTCAGTTTAAAAATGTAAATTGCTTCATGAATACTTTCGTGAGACTGTGATCTGCTTAATCGTATAAGAAATGACAAAACATGTTAACTGTGGTCAGCTTGTCGGTTATGGAATCGCAAAAGACGACAGGCCGATAAATCTCCGGTTGATTACAATTTCCTTGTTGATATCACTATGGTAACCAATTATATTACATATTTTCCGTTTCAAAGAATATTCAAATATTCATGAAAATGTAAGTTTGCTTAAAAAATATAAGATCGTAATATTGATAGGCTGTACTGTATTTTCATGTGTTTATCATGATTATCGTGTGTTTGCCTAATGTTTGCTGCCTCCACGCTTTCAGGTGTTGACGATGTTGTGCCAGATCCTACAGACAGAAGATATCAATGCTGTGCAGTCGTGGTTGGTGTCGGCGGGAGACAGAGGTTAGATATATGCTCAGCAAAAGTAGAAGAGTACTCTTGTAATGTAGGTCCTTGTGCATTGGTTTACATCCTCACCTGTGCAGCAGTATACGGCTCTACATCCTCACCTGTGCAGCAGTATACGGCTCTACATCCCCACCTGTGCAGCAGTATACGGCTCTACATCCCCACCTGTGCAGCAGTATACGGCTCTACATTCTCACCTGTGCAGCAGTATACGGCTCTACATCCCCACCTGTCAACAGTATACGGCTCTACATCCTCACCTGTGCAGCAGTATACGGCTCTACATCCCCACCTGTGCAGCAGTATACGGCTCTACATCCCCACCTGTGCAGCAGTATACGGCTCTACATTCTCACCTGTGCAGCAGTATACGGCTCTACATCCCCACCTGTCAACAGTATACGGCTCTACATCCTCACCTGTGCAGCAGTATACGGCTCTACATCCCCACCTGTGCAGCAGTATACGGCTCTACATCCTCACCTGTGCAGCAGTATACGGCTCTACATCCCCACCTGTCAACAGTATACGGCTCTACATCCTCACCTGTGCAGCAGTATACGGCTCTACATCCTCACCTGTGCAGCAGTATACGGCTCTACATCCTCACCTGTGCAGCAGTATACGGCTCTACATCCTCACCTGTGCAGCAGTATACGGCTCTACATCCTCACCTGTGCAGCAGTATACGGCTCTACATCCTCACCTGTGCAGCAGTATACGGCTCTACATCCCCACCTGTCAACAGTATACGGCTCTACATCCTCACCTGTGCAGCAGTATACGGCTCTACATCCCCATCTGTCCCACATCTTCACTGTGCAGCAGTACAGCACGCCCCAGCAACCTTGTCATCCAAGGCGACTTAATCGATCTGGTGGCAAGGCTCGATGACTTGGTTGCTTGCGTGTTATCATAACCATATAACATATAACCATATAACATATAACCATATAACATATAACCATATAACATATAACCATATAATATATAACCATATCAGTGATTTCTCTGATCCAAGCTCGATCATTTCCGTAGTTGGGAATGGTTATAGTATGGTACAATGTATCTTGTATTTCCAAAAAGAACAAAATAAGAAGGTTATGTTTTAGTCCATTGTATTTCTTCCTTCCCAGAAGAACAATGTATCTTGTATTTCCCAAAGAACAAAATGAGAAGGTTATGTTTAAGTGCAATATATCCCTTTCTTCCCAGGAGAAGTACAATGTATCTTGTATTTTCCAAAAGAACAAAATGAGAAACTTATGTTTTAGTACAATGTAGCCCTTCCTTCCCTAGTGAAGTACAATGTATCTTGTATTTCCCCAAAAGAACAAAATGAGGTGAGGTGAGGTGAAATGGGGTTTAACGTCGCATCCAAGATTATTGCACTTATATAACGACGTGCATGTACGTGTGTGTGTTTTGTGTGGCTGCTTGGACTATAGTCTGGAAGGTAATTTAAGGTACCGACGTTTACTACAATATCTGAAAAACTATCGGACCTACTCCAGTCAAAGTTGGTATGAGATTATTAAACGGTCATACATAACTGGATATTACATTTAAAGACAATCGGTGCATCGATAAAAAAATCTGTCTATTTAGCTTTCACTATATTTCATCAACAACCAGACCTGTTCGTCACGGGTGGAACGAGCAGTCATTGAAACAGCCATCTGCATAATGCTACCCCTACGTCACAGGGCCATATGACACAATTGAACCAATCAATTCAATTCGAAGGGGTGCACGGGAATCACGCATGTTGAGACGCCCAACGCTAACACCGTATTCGTGCGTGATGCCGATTTATAGTGCTAGCTCACTGAGATACCATGCTGCAGTTTTAACATGAATACCCCACTCAGACACAGTATACTGACTCCGAGCCGACCAGTCCTTGTTTTAGCCCCTTAATGCCAAGCTCCAGACAGGGTAACAACAAGTACCATCTTTTAACGTCTTTTGGTATGACGCGGCCGGGGATCAAACCCCCGGACATTCCGCACTCCGGGCGGACGCTCTACCACTAGACCACGGAGGCGGTCAGAACGAAATGAGAAGGTTATGTTTTAGTACAATGTATCCCTTCTTTCCCCAGAGAAGTACAATGTATCTTGTACTTCCCAAAAGAACAAAATTAGAAGGTTATGTTTTAGTACAATGTATTCCTTCCTTTCCAGGAGAAGTACAATGTTCCTTGTATTTCCCAAAAGAACAAAATTAGAAGGTTATGTTTTAGTACAATGTATTCCTTCCTTTCCAGGAGAAGTACAATGTTCCTTGTATTTCCCAAAAGAACAAAATGAGAAGGTTATGTTTTAGTACAATGTATTCCTTCCTTCCCAGGAGAAGTACAATGTTCCTTGTATTTCCCAAAAGAACAAAATGAGAAGGTTATGTTTTAGTACAATGTCTTCCTTCCTTCCCAGGAGAAGTACAATGTATCTTGTATTTCCCAAAAGAACAAAATGAGAAGATTGTGTTTTAGTACAATGTATTCCTTCCTTCCCAGGAGAAGTACAATGTTCCTTGTATTTCCCAAAAGAACAAAATGAGAAGATTATGTTTTAGTACAATGTATTCGTTCCTTCCCAGGAGAAGTACAATGTTCCTTGTATTTCCCAAAAGAACAAAATGAGAAGGTTATGTTTTAGTACAATGTATTCGTTCCTTCCCAGGAGAAGTACAATGTTCCTTGTGTTTCCCAAAAGAACAAAATGAGAAGATTATGTTTTAGTACAATGTATCCCTTCCTTCCCCAGAGAAGACGATGGTGTTAGACATGATCAGGACTGTCGTGGCGGGGAGGGAGGAGTACAATCACCAGCTGCCTGCCGAGGTGGTCGGCGAGAGACCCAGGACAGTGCTGCCACCTATCAACGACAGGCAGATCATCGGAGAGAGCAATGATGACAACATGATAGACAGGTGAGGCAGAGATGTGTAACCAGATGTTGGGCATAATGACGTTTTGAACAGTGTTTCAGTTATGTCACAGCTGTTACTGACAGCTTCACAGGGGTGATACCACTTTACCCACGAGCACAGCTTGGTGATGACAAATATAGTTACATAATCAGGGCGAATTCTGGATTCGAACCCATGGTCATAGGCTTGTGGCGCGCCCAAGGAACGCAACTCGAAATGCGCTGCCTCAGACGGGGCCACCCATGCCACCATATGTGCTGTATACTTCATTTGACTTTGAAACGTGTACGTGGTGTAAGTATGCCTTGTCTGGCTACACCACAGAAGGGAACCTAGAATAGGCTTGACAAACTGTAGAATTGAACCTACTAGACTTTTTGACCAGTCAGTGTTTTTACCATAATACCCTATCAGACCCTATGTTTCATCTAGTATACTAAATGGGAAAGAGTCTCGTTGTTATCATTTGCGATTATCCAGTGTATCCATTCCATCATGACAAATAATGCACTGGATAATTGAACACTGCTTTTTATCAGCATGTCTGATATATCACTGTGTGTCAGCCCGATTTGGGAGGAAAGCCTGAAGTGATGCGGGTCTTTGGGCGAATTTGGAATTTGAACCCACGATCTTAGGTTGCTGGCATTCTTAATGGATGCAACACCTCACAGCAAATTGTTGTGCAGTAGGCAACAGGGCCATTCGTGCTTTCCTCCACCATAACATAATGAAAACCATAACATGATATTAGGCTCCTGAACAAGAATAACTTTGAAGCTAACATGGAGTCAAACTTGATTCGACTATTTCTCTCCCAAGGTTGACTTTGGTGGATGAGCCTGTCATTCCGAAAGGACCGTCGATGATGCATAGGGCGGTTACCATGGATCCCGTAGAGACAATGCCAGGAATCCCTGCAGTCCCTCCTCCCCAGGCTGACCCTGCCATGCCGGTTCCCGCACCCTCCCCGCCTCACATACCCATGAAACCAAGCTCGCCCAAGGCCATCATAGAAGATGATGGTAAGCACTGATACCGTCGGGACGGTGTCTGGCTTACTCACAGTAGGAAATGGTTTGGTTACATTTGTTACAATTGTATACAATTATTACATGACCTGAGGTGGAAACTGTATTACTCTTTGGTTGCATGTTTGTGGTAGCTAGGCCACAGTAAATTAATGTATTCATTAAAAAGGGTTTTTCTTCTTCTTGTAATCTTGAAACACTAATCATTCAGCAGAATTACAGGTTACTGAAAGGGAACTATTGGGAAGTAACGGTCGTCGTATACAAGATGCTAGTTTTTTAAATGAATGAGTAAAAGGTGTGTCATTTGCTGTTTTCTTGTCTGCTTCAATTAACGATCCATGACAAACAAAATGTTTTGACATTTGATACATTTTAATACTATTCACCAGACAACTAATTTTAGTGTGTATCAGAAAACGTATAACTTTATGGGTAACAAGTTCTAGTTTCTTTAATTTACTGATGTTTTTATTGAGATTCTTACACCCCAATAAGTACTTGCCCTGTGTTTCAATCCCTTTACATGGTCCACAACTCTTTCAAAATACATTTTCTATCATTCAGAAATACCAATCAAGCCTCCTACAAATGAAGTGTTCAAACATATGACATCCCGTCCACCCACACAAGGCGGACGTATCTCAGCAGCTAACGACATGAGGCCCCCTGGCACAGCAGACGCCAGACTAAAATACACCAAGTCACCCTTTGTGAATGGACCCGTTCCAGACAACATGTGGAAACAACAACAGTCAATAAACAACAACACTTTTTAAATAAACCCAGATAGGAACAATTATACATTGATTAAGGTATTCATACTGAACTTGATGTGGTGCCTTACCTAATGGATGTTTCAGTGAAGATCAACTTTTTTATAATTGTGATGAGAAAATTTACATGACGTCCAAACTCCTGGAAATATTTATTAAACTCACCTTATAACCATGGCTCCATGGATAGTTCCTCTAGGAGAGAGTATACTATCCCCTAACATTCAGTCTAATGACGGATATCAGTAGTTTATATTTTCGTTGCTTGTAAAGCATCCTGTTTCGAGAAACTGATTTCTTGCTGGAGTCATGGCAACATGAGGTAGGGTCATGGTGACATGAATTATTGTCACGGCAACATGAGCTATATTGCTATGGTACAATGAAGGATCGTCAATCTCAAATGGCATCTTGCGACAGTATTATGAAATCTATACTACTCAAAAGAAGTTAAGGGCCACCCGATTATTTCATAATACTGGCATGACAGATTAACAATAGTTATATGAAAGAATCGGGTGGTCCTTAACTTCTTTGGAGTAGTATAGTTACTTACACTTGTGTTTTGTTTCCATTCACAGAGTGATGTAGTTTGAAGGCTGTAGTACGTGTACAGGAACAGTGTATGTTGTCATGGTTGACAAAAGCTCAAGCATTGGCTGTGATAGCTTTCCATTATACAGGGTGAATGGGGAAATGCCACGTAATCTGTTCTCCAACACTTTACATATTTTCAATTCATTGAAGTGCCTCTATTATTCATATTGTAATATTTATAGCACTCTTGATTCAACTTCAGTGGAAATATTTTTACCACTCTTTTTTATGTCAATAATGCAACACCTATATGTAATCTGTATTAAGGTATACAGTGCTGTTAAGATTTTATCAGATTTATACAAACTATAACAACTGTAAACTAATGATCATGAAACACAGTATATCTCAAGTTTTTGTGTGTGTCCTCCACCAAATTGCACAATATTAAAACAAGTTGTATAAAATTGTGTAAATAGTATTTCCTTGATCAAAGCACTGCATGTACCTGCTGCTCCCCAGTCATCAAGTCTGGACCAAGCATCACCAGACATACCCTTTCTTATGTTAGTATGGTTAGCTGTATAGAATATATCATTTCAGGAATTCTCGACTAATCAAACTGAAGGGGTTATGCTGACATTTCAAAGTCGTATTGACTTGTACATATATACTTAAATGTGAGCATGGTTTCAATCAAACTATCACATAAAGGACTGGTTATATATTATAGGGGAGGTTGGGTCAGAGGGAACCAGGGGAGGGTCAACGAAAAATATGATAATCTCTAAGGGAGGGTCATCAACAGAGTGCTTTTGCATTTTGTCCTTTCATGGAGGGTCATGAAAAAATGTACAAAGGCATGGGGAGTGTCATCGAAAAATAAGACAACCATTTGGGGAGGGTAATTTTTTTCAGTACATTAGTGCATCAAAATCCTCTGACTCACACACCCCTGTAATAAATGGCTGGTCACTTATATTGCTGACGTGTTGTTGCCCTGTGTTCCTGTTGTGTCTTAACACCTGTGTGTTCACATCCTGTGATAAGTCTGTACATAGCAGCAGAGTGGAATAAATCTAACACTGTTGACTGTTGTCTCGTTTTTCATAGCTTTAATCCCATACATCCGTCAGAGTTAAATATCATAAAGTGCAGGTTTAAAAAACCTTGACAAGTTTACATCAATAGTAGGACATTTCTTTCAATTGCACAGAGTCAAAGTAATACCATACATTGGCATCCAATTCTATCTTACTCAGTCCTTGTATTCATTTTGTCTTGACAGGGACAGTTGTCTCCCATGTCAAACTCAGTCACCGGCAAATAACCTTTAGAGTGAGTGAGTGGATGTTGTATGCCTCTAGGACATGATGACACATTATTCACCATGTCCACTAGGACAATGACACACCACCAGCCATTGCAACGTTTAGGGCATGATGACACATCATCTGCCATGCCTACCTCAAGAATAAGATGACATACCACCATCCAGGTGTCCCCCTAGGGCATGATAACACCATCAACCAGGTTGACCTCTAGAACATAATGACACACCATCAATCAGGTCGACCTCTTGGACATGATGACATACCATCAGTCAGGTCGACCACTAGAGCACAATGACACATCATCAACCAGGTTGACTTCTAGGAAAAGATGACATACCATCAGCCAGGTCGACCATTTGGACACAATGACATACCACCATCCAGGTGTCCCTCTAGGGCATGATAACACCATCAACCAGGTCGACCTCTAGGACATAATGACACACTATCAGCCAGGTCGACCTCCAGGTACTCATTACTCATATGATGTTTGATATGAGTTTGATGACCTTTTCTATCCATAAAAAAACTTTCTCAAATACAAAGCACAGTTTAAAGTAGTCATACAGCTGTATTAGTGGTTGATGAGAGGAGCCTCGTACTGACATTGATTTCACAATGGTTGAAAAACTAGAACAAGTAACAATGATGAAATGTGCATTTTTAGAAATATCTGAAAAATGAAAATGCCACTTGGCACTGTACCAACGTCTAAACACACTGCTCTGTTTGTCCATTCCTTGAGGTCAAATGGCAGTCCTATATTTCCTTAAAGTTGGCTTGACAGTCACTTTAAGAGCCAGCATCAGCTAGTATTGGCGTTTATTTGTTTACTACTGTTTACATCACTACATACTTCACTATTGACTGTTTCAGCTTTCACGGCAAGATCTTTATTAGGATCATCCTGTGCATCTTCCATTTCTTTTTCTTTCAATCCTTTTCTCTGAGGGAGGACTTGGAAAAATGCCTTCTTCCAATCTCTGGTCTCTGTATACCTCAAGAGGATCTCGAATACTGAAAACAGATCCAGAATCATCAGGGACCATTAAACAACTATGGTTCGATAACGTTCCTATGTTTGTCAACACCATACCTGTGCTTCTGGGTTTCACCAAAGTGGTAAACGCCTCTGACATACATCACTTCAGGCTTTCCATCCACATTTAGAAGCATGTCAGGCCAAATCTTGGATTTGTACCCACAGTCATAAGTTCCTGGATCACCAAAGGGAAGAAACTCTGCCAGTGAACAGGTCACTCATTGCACCCTAACCTACAATGTAAATGTGTTTGTTGATTGTTTACACCACAGTCGGCAATATTCCACTGACATCATGTTGGCCTGTAAATACTGAATCTGGGCCAGGCAAACAAGTGGTTGATAGCATGAACCACCCCCATGCTGTCAAGGATGATGACACACAATGAGCAAAGTCACAGAGACAGATCCCCATCTAAGCTGGGTCTTATGGGGGTTCAATCTACTGGGGTCCTATTCCAACCTGGAATCCCCACTACACAACATAATGTGTATTTCCCAGTCAGTAATCCTTCCAATAACCTCAACAGACCTTATTAACATTAGGACTGCCTCCATGGTCTAGTGGGCGGTCGGGTAGCCTAGCGTTCGCTCGTCACGCCAAAGACCCGGGTTCGATTCTCGACATGGGTACAATGTGTGAAGCCCATTTCTGGTGTCACCCGCCGTGATATTGCTGGAATATTGCTAAAAGCGGCGTAAAATCAAACTCACTCACTCACTCACTCACTCCATGGTCTAGTAGATAGAGCGTCTGCCCAGAGATGGAGATTGCACTTGTTGTTACCCTGCCTGGTGCTCGGCATTAAGGGGGTAAAAGAAGGACTGCTTGTCCCGGAATCAGTATGCTGTGTCTGAGTGGGGTTTCCATGATTACCTGCGGCATTGCATCTGAGTAGGAAGGCACTAGAAAACCTGCTTTAGTCTGTACCAGTACCAGCATCCACACACACACACACACACACATGTACATGCATGTTGTTATATAAGTACTATAATCTTGAACATTAAACCACATTTCACCACATTTAATCATGTGTATTCATATTTCCCTAGACATCAAACACAAGGTGCATGCCCAAAGCGCTAACATTATTACCCCAGTCTATGGATATAACCCCTCAGCTCCCTGGGGAGTGTACAACCCAAGCTGCCTGTGAGGCACCAGAGGTTAAACTGTAACATTAACATCTCATCCTACCAGGTAATCCACTACTGGGTGAAGAGAGGCACATTTCAGAGAAGTCACATGCCTAAGGCAACACCACATGTACTACATGTGCTTAAGTGTGGGGTAGGACCGAAGATTGGTTTGGTTGGTTTGGTTGGTTTGTTGTTTAACGCCGCACTCAGCAATATTCCAGCTATATGACGGCAGTCTGTAAATAATCAAGTCTGGACCAGACAATCCAGTGATTAATATCATGAGCATCGATCCACGCAATTGGGATCGATGACGTGTATCAACCAAGTCAGCAAGCCTGACCATCCGATCCCGTTAGTCGCCTTTTACAACAAGCATAGTCACCTTTTACGGCAAGTATGGGCTGCTGAAGACCTATTCTACCCCGGCGTCTTCACGGGCCAAAGAACTCTCAGGAGTCAAGCTGCCGAAGGTCACCCATCCAACTATTCTCTGTGGCCGACATTGCCTAACTTCAACTGATCTGTGACCTGTGTACAGTACCATGTGCCGACATATTAACATTAACCTTTTCTCTTTGCAAGGGATTAGCAAAAAGCGGTACTCATCAGGCCTATTTGTGAAATCCCAGTCCTTAATGAGTGAATTAATATCATAGTCACTTACCATATTAATACAAAATAGGCTAACATACCATATACAGTGACATATAAATGACTCAGTTAATGTCTAAATGTAAAGAACGTAGATGTAACCATGGTAACGAGGACCAAAAGAAGACATACAATCAGTCCTGTCTACAAGACCAGGGACCTGTTCCACAAAGCAATCTTAGCGCTAAGGTGATCGTAACAACCATACTTTTACATAGACTTGTGACAGTCATAGCGCTAAGACCCCTTTCTGGAACAGGTCCCTGGGCCTTATCTAGGCTCAGTGAATGATATTTGGCCTAAGTCTGCAGTAAATGTCAGTAAAAATTCCCAAATTAGAATAAAAACATTCAAAATTCATGTCAGTACTAATATTATGGCTCTGCAGAGTTGACTTGTACATCACTGCTAAAAGAGAGAATTTAATGATTAGTTTTACACTATTGGATTGAATACAATGTTAAAACACCTTTGAATTAAAGAAACTAAAAACTTTTAAAAAGACTAATTTACAAAATAATCCCCCCCCCCCCCCCCCCCCCCCCCCTTAATTTGCCTGCCAAGTGCATTTAGTTTAGAATCTCAGACACATTCCTGAAGATTTACTTTCACAACATGGGACTCTTACCGTGGTTTATGGTGAGGACTTTGCGTGTCTTCATGTCCACATATTCTGCTATGGGCAGCTGGGCGTGGCTGACCTCTCTGTCCACTGCCAGCTGGTGGCACATACCCTGGGGACACAGGACATAGAGTGGGTGAGTGAGGGAGTGAGTTCGGTTCAATTGGGATCGATGACATGCATCAACCAAGTCAGCGAGTCTGACCACCCAATCCACTTAGTTGCCTCTTAAGACAAGCATAGTTGCCTTTTATGGCAAGAATGGAATGCTGAAGTCCTATTCTACCCTGGATCTTCACGGGTCACCACTCTGGGAAAAACCAATGGGTACAGAAATGGTTTGGGGATTTGAACCCTGACCCTAGGATCCTTGCAGCACAGAGAAATGCAACATCTGTGGTCACTGCAGTCTTGATTGTTCAGGATATATCTCCATTATACCATGATAAATACCGAAGACCCATTCCCCACAACAGCTTCATATACTGTGTCCAATTCAAATGAAGCATAATATAGCTGCCCAAATAAATTAATCTGCTTTTTCATGATCAAAACGAGCAGCACTGTCACCAGAACATGATGGGCGTTGTTGCGTTTCATCTTAAGTTTTCATTAGAGGAAATATGGTATTTGCCACCCATGCACCCATTCTGGCGGTTGGCTGGGGGAGGGGTTGCTTCCCAGACCCCATGGACCCTCCCTTGAGACCTGCCTATGCATGCAGATCCCCCTGGCAAATGTCTGGGAAGTGATTGGAAAGTGTCTGAAAACTGCCTGGGAAATGTCCGGAAACTGTGTGGGAAATGTCTGGAAACTGTCTGGAAACTGTCTGCAAAATATCTCGGAAATATCTCGGCCGAGCCCAGGAGGGATGTGAAACTGAATATATTTTCACTATTTCACTGATTCATGCGTACAGGCATGACTTGCAACACTGGTCACCTTGTGATGGTTGTGGTCGACCAGTCCCCCGATGATGTACACCTTGTCATCCTCCAGCTCCTGCAGCACATTGGGGGAGTCACTGGACAGGTACACCACATCCCCCTTTGGGAACAGGTCCAGATAGTTCTCCGTCTTGAAGTACACCTGTAACAGACCGATACCTGGAGACACACAGACAGACACTCTATTGTTATGCAATTTCACATAGGTATATCTCCTGATGAAGCCAGCTTTGAATGATAAATATCCAATCCCACAAGAAAATGTGATGGAGTGTCACAATCCACAATATTACAGCATCTCACAGAAACCTGTAAATAATCAAGTCATGACAGGCCAGTGGTTGAAAGCATGAGCAACAATCCCCATGAGCAGGATGCGTTGACACACTGTATGGCTGATCAGATAGCTGCAAGCATGGGAGTCTACACTGCCCACAACATCAACAAAGGAAGACAATCAGGCCACTATTCACAGAGTGATCTTACCACTAAGACTAAGAAGTCTGCATTAAAGTACGGGCGCTACCACTAAGATTGCTTCATGAATATGGCCTAGCTTGTCTAGTGTATGCTAACTAGGTGCTAATAGTCGAGGGTTGTTTGTTTGTTGTTGAACACTGCACTCAGGTATATTTCAGATGGTGGTGGTCTGTAAATATTCGAGTCTGGACAAGACAATCAAATGACTGATACCATAAGCATTGATCTACACAATTGGGATACAGTGACATGCATCAACCAAGTCAGCGAGCCTGTTAGTCGCCTCTTACAACAAGCATGGGTTGTTGAACATCAATTCTAACCAGGACCTTCACAGGGGGTATCAAGTCCTATGGTTTGGTTAGGGTGAAACGCACCATCCATTGATCCTACTGAGCTCAGATAATTGTCTATGCGCCTACATAATTCTCATCAAATTCACTCAAACTAGGGTATGTTAGACCAGTCTGCCCTGGCATACCCACAGGGAGAGCAAAGTTATCTCCCCTGGAAACTACCACTACCGCTCCTTCCATGAAGGTTGTTCTACATATTTCACCAAACAAATAGCATCAATATTGTTCTTGTCACATCCATGGTTTGTATACTGAGAAATATTAATATGTACTAATGATTTGTTTTAATCGAAACTTGTTAATCAGTACGATTTCACCGGGAATGACATCATCCAGGTCAACAGGCTCCAGTGTACGTACATCCCATCCTTTGTAGTCACCAATCTGATCTAGTCTCTGCTGCGCCTTGCCGTTAATGCCACACACGTAGAACTAGAACAACAATAGTCACAATCTTCATTAAACCTTCAGGGGTGCAACTCGGCTGGTTATTTTGTCTAATGTTCAAGGTATCCTAACAGCTGGTCTGTTTAATGCCTCACTCGGCAATATTCCAGCTATATGATGGAGGTCTGTAAATAATCATGTCTTGACCAGATATTCCAGTGATTGACATTATGAGCATTGATCCACACAATTGGGATATGATGACATGCATCAACCAAGCCTGAACACCCAATACCATTAGTTGCCTCATACCACAAGCATGGGTTGCTGTAGGCCTTCCTAATCTGGCCCTAAGGGCTAGTAGAATTTAATATCTCTTAGGGGTGTCCTTATATGTTATCACTATTCAGGAGGATATGTTTCTGGTAAAGTTGCAATCCTAAGCTTCACGTAACACCTTCTTAAGATCTTTCAAAAATGTTAGTTTCACCCATTGGGATTCGGGGTAAAAATTGGTCCCCAGCAACCATGTTTGCCATGGATTGGGTGGTCATGATCATAATTCACTACTTCAGACCAAGAGATTAAGTTCCTTAATGTAGACAGCAGATGCAACCATGATGGACTGTACCTGAAGTGGGTTGTTTGCCCGTCTGTTGGCGGAGTAGCTATGTTGTATCTGCTGGACCAGATGGCGCACATCCTGCAGCAGACACAATACAAATATAAACATGCATGATAAGGCCACGCAATATTCCTTATATCAGGCAATGCAGACACAATACAAATATAAACATGCATGATAAGGACAGCCCAATAGTCATTATATCAGGCATGTGAGTATGGTTTGAACATTCTTTAGCCGCTTTTAGCAATATTCCAGCATCATCAGGCCCAGGGTCACCAGAAATAGGCTTCACACATTGTACCCATGTGGGGATTCAAACCTGGGTCTTAGGCAGGACCAGCGAATGCTTTGACCACTGGGCTACCCCATATGAGACTTGGTTCAGCTTGAGCCTACTTCAGCATTGGTTAGGGACATTCAGGTATATATCATGGAGGGAGACAGTGGGTATGACACTGTAACAGATGGGGCTGTCAGGACTGAGTGAGTTTGGCTCAACGCTGCTTTGAACGGTACGCCAGTTACATCACAGCGTGTCAGCTTGATGTGGGAGGAAAGCCTGAAATGGTGCAGGTCTTAGACATTTCCACTTTGGGTATGGTGCTGACAAACCTAAACACATAACTGGGGCAAACCAGGATTCTAACCCAATCATAGGTTTCTGGGGTGTAAGGGGATGCCACCCTGCAGTGAGTTTCAGCGCCTTAGATGACTGGGCCACCGGTGCTGTCAGGAAGCAAACCTCACACTACAGTGTGATAACAAGCACTACAACTACAGTCACATCCAGTCAAGTTCCCTACCTTCTCGGTCATTTGTTCGTCGAAGGAGCAGTCTATGACTGCCTTCACTTTACACCCTGAGTTCTGCATGCAGTTCTTCTTCAGGGATTTCCTGGACGGCCCTATATCCTGCCCTCTCTCTCGGGCATCTTCAAACTTCCGCTTCTTCTTCAACCTCTCCTGTTTTCTGAAACACAAGAAGGTAACCATAACAACACTGAAGAATTACGTGCTGTCACAAATTGTCCAACATTGTATTCACAGGTATCCTAACAAAACGGACATAATAGGCATAAGCAATATTTTTACATCCCACCCTCCTATCAAGGTATAACAGGGTTCCATTCTCAAATTAGGTTAACGTTATGTATGGAATATTTACACCATGCTAACCATGATATATGATAAAGTGGGATTAATGCTGGGCACAGGCAATATTGACCGCGTAGTCTGGGTATCGTCAAGCTCTCAAGTCTAGCCTCACATGTGGCATATTTACATGATTTAAGGGCCATAGTAAATGTATGAGGCTAGCCTGTTGAGCACCTGATACCAATGAACTGAATTGTGTGAAAACACCCCAAGTAATCTAAGCACTAACTTTGTCTACCAGGTCCACTGATTGAAGCTTCAGTAAAATCTCTTAGGCTGCATGGTATGTTAGTGAGTGAGTGAGTTGGGTTTAACACGGTTACTAACAGTATTCCAGTTATATCACAGTGTGTCAGCTTCATGTGGGAGGAAAGCGCAAAGCAATGCAGGTCTCAGCCATTTAGCACTTTGTTGATACCCACAAGCACAGATATGGTGCTGACAAGCCTAGAAACAATCGGGCGAAGCAAGATTCAAACCCACAATCATAGGTTTTTTGCGAGACCTAGGGACGCAACTCTGCACAGCGAAAGTGTGGCGACTTAGATAACTGGGCCTTCTGAGCCCCCCATCTATGGCATAAGACACTGTAGACTTAAAGCATATAAAATTGCAGCCAAGTTGGTCTTTACCAAAAAGAATTCTCACAAGTCCAAAATAATCATGTTCCTCAGTGTCAGACACAAAGGGGCCCATGGTTCTTTGATGATATAGTATTCAAATTTAGAGCCACTTAAAAAATAAATTTAAAGTTTAAAAAGTTAAAAAATATCCACCATATCATGACCATGATAATGATTCCTGGGCTTCCTCACTGAACACTGGCAATATAGATTAGTTACACATAAATAATGATAAACCAGGGTTACAGCTGTAACAGTCCTATGCCAAAAGGACACCAAGTGAAAACAGCCTCAACGGCTTGGCAAAAAACGTAAAATGTATATGTACATTGTGTGCATATATTCAAACAAATGAAACATAACAGATGAATACAGTCATTGGGGGAAAAAAAATCAGAATAAAAACAAACTGTAGGACTTTCATTCTTTACTATTAATTAGTTATTACACCTCACAAACTCATCATTTTCAAGGACATGTGAAAATTAATTTTGTATGGTTCAATATTATATATTCTGCTGATAGTTATGTGCATAAATATTTTTTATGGAAACAATACAATTTTAACATGTTTTAGTGGAGAGCCATCATCTGGTCTGAAACTGTAGAATAAGCCATTTATTTCATAATGGCATGTTTAAAGCATAACATGACTTGATAAGATATTTTGTTTCATAAACCACACCCATGTGAAAGGGGTGTTGTTATAAAATAAAAATTTCATACCAATAGCTTTTTTTCGACTTTTGTGGAAATTCAGAAGATTTGTTTTAATCAAATGGTGGCATAATAAAGTGACATTGATTCAACAAGTTGTTGAAATCTATTCACCTTGTTCAGTGGTTACTCTCGGGGTATGAGTTTATCCAATTATTAAATAAACACACCTTGTCCTAATCTGTCACCTAATTAATCTGTTTACTCAAGACAGACAAAGGTATGACTCAGCATCTGTTGCGAGGTGACTGCCTACACAGGATTTGTAATCAGCACACAACAATTCTTGCACCTCAGATGTCTCCACACTCGAAGTGTGTCCCGTCTTCCGTCTTCTGAACAATGTTCCATTATGCATATAAATACAAAATCTTTTGTTTATTATGTATTGAGGGTTGAAACCAATGAAGAGTGGGGTCATTTCACCAATGAGGCCATTTTATCTGGCACCATCAGTTACCATGGTTACCATGCTTACTGACCAAAATGTACCGAGCCAGTTGCTGGCTATAGAGAATTTTCCACATACCGCTTCTATCCTTATCTATAATAAGTTACACGTTTATTAACATTTTGACCACCTGTCGTGTTCAACGGGGGACTAATTTTCACCAGCTGTTAAAAATATAAATATGATAGAATCAGAAAGTCAAAGATGTGTTGGGAACCGCCCGGTCGAAACCCTGTCCGCAAATTCGTCATTGTCATATGAAATAAAACACATATTTATCTGAAACCTTTTCAACATTTTCGTTTCTTCCCATCGTTTGTGTTTTAGTAGTCGTTTCTTTGCCCTCTTTGATAAGCCCTTCATTTCCTCGTCGTCATCTGAATAATCATGGCTTTCGCTTTCACGTTCATCTTCAGAGTTGGAACACACTCCATCGTCTTTTATCACACTCTCGGCTTCTTGTTGCTCAGGTTCACTCATGATGACAGACCTGCAGTTCCATTAACAAAGTGAAAATACTTCAAAATAGTGTTGAAAAGAGAACATCAACAACCTCCATGCACACACATGGACGCAGACATCTTGCTTCTCGCGTTTTCTCGTGGGATCAACACACGTCGTCTGCTATTGCTACAAGTTTTACATTATAACACTAATTGCAACAAAAACTGTTATTCCACGGTTTTAATAGTTATCTTTCAAATCTATATGTTTAACATTTGGTTAAGAAAAGTCTACAAAAGAATACTTGAAAGTGAATATATATATATAAACGTGGGAGAAAGCAGCGTTCATTTTTATTATGTGAATGCAGAGAAACTCCACGGGAGTTTCTAGAGCACAGGAACTCGAAATTAAGGAAGTGGGTTGCAGATGGAGCTAAAACAATCGGGTCGTCAGCTGGACCCGCGTTATGCCATACTGCATAATTATCCATAACCAAAGGCATCCCGCAATCAGAGACAAAGGGTTAGCAAGATATCACTGAATAGCTGGACTTTGTCCATTCAGGCCACAGGTCCCGAGTCTGAGAGAGGAGTTACATGCGTACAACTTGGCGACCATTCACCAGCATCATGAACCGGTCACACTTGTGCCTCTCGCCGGCTCTGCTTCTTGTCATATTTACCATCATACAAAGTAAGTTTTGATTGATGTTTTAAATGGGGAGTATCACGGTTATCACGGAAAGTTGAATTAGCGCGTGTACCCCCGTTAACCAGTATCAGGTTCCTGTACATGCAGAGGAAGAAAACCTTGCTTTAGTGTGCCTCGCTGACGTGGCCAGCGAAACTTGTTGATATTTCATCAGTTTAGTTTGAAATATTCATACTGTGTCGCTATATGTAAAGTCCTTGCACTTTATGGCCGCTGTGGGTTTATCATACGCCGGTAATCCCTGACGTCAGATGCAAGATCACCACTGATAATACGCATGCATGGCGAAGTGACATTTAAGAGATCATTCGTATCTTACAGATTGGAATTAATGTATGTCTTACCAAATAAAATCAAAGCATGCTCTTAGAATGTTGACATGTATTTCAAGTAAAAGAGCAGCTTAACCAGAGCCTGGAATGTGTAACTCCATACTTAAGTGTAATGTCAGTTGGGTAAAGAGTAGGATCCGGGTACCCATAGAACTACCCAGATCCGTGATTGGTCACAGGATATATTGGTTAATGACAAAAAATCACTATATCTCCTTCATTACACAACAGGTAAAAAAAAATTCTTTTTGACTTTGCATGCATTCCTTCTTATTTTTATATGCTTGAATAAAGATAAAGCTTCATTCAGCTTCAGATTATTTTATATGTTTATCTAAATACTTTTTGCCAGGGCTCACATCAAACAATTCCCAATCCGACAACTCCCAACTCTTGAGACTCTATGCCGCTAACAGGTACCCAGGTAGGGTTGGGTAATAGGGGGTCAGGTACCTGGGGGTCGGGTACACAGGTCGTAAATTTGACCTCATCCCAGCCCTAAGCTTAATGATGTAACTGAATTCATATGTGGAATTCACCCACGGAAAAATTACCACCAAATGCTTTGGGCATTAATTATTTATTTCACATTTTTATTTCACATCTAATCTATGGGTTTTGGCAATGTGCATATTGTTTAAACAAAATTAAGGCGAGGCGATAACATTTGACATACATTTACTATTTAGTGACCATACATGTCTTTTGTAGAGACATAACAATATTTAGAATTTTGTATGCTGTAGTTTCTGACAAAATGTAATGTATTAAACCCCCAAACAATGGATCAGAAATGAATTGGTGACTAGTTGGATGCAACACATCCTGCTGAAAATAAATCTATATAATCACAACAATCTTTGAAATCACAGTAATTGTGCATAGCCATGCATGATATCACTCTGTGCCTTTTGCATCAACCAGCAAGACCTTCACTGTTAGCGTCACTTTCAATTGATTTTAGTGTTATCATATAGAGTTTCATTAACTAATGTTACTAGATCAAACATAATTTTACCAGACTAGGACTTTGTGGCTAAAGTCACAGACTGACATATAGTCTATTTTGGTTTATCTAATCGCCCACCCCCTAAACATAATGTACAATCTGTAGGTAAAACATAAAATGTTACTTTATACTCATACCAAAACAAAATATTATTTAAAACTGCCTGGTCGATAAATATACCTATAATGAAAAAAAGTTAGTTTATTCAGTACACCCACCTTTTTAAACAAGGTAAATGCATTTTTCCCACACTGCACATGACCTATGAGGACCATGGTGAATGTTTTGACAGTTGTGTTTTGAGTCATTGGGATGTTTTGACAAGCATGAATGTTAATAGTCCACAAGTAGCTCAACTAATTTAATAAATCATAACCCTTCTTTAAAAGTTATTATAGGCAAACATACTTTGTTTTCAAATTAAAAAAGGTGGTTTACAAGCATGATAAATGTGAGCTATTCAAACATATTGATAATGATATGTATATATCATTATTGTCAATAACAGGTAACGTTTAAAAGGAAGTAAAACATGGGACATGATTATTCATTATTTGCTGATTCAGGCTCCCTATTGGTTTTAGATAACCTCTGCACTTGGACCAAAGAGTAAATGTCACCATGGTCAATGTCGTTATCAGCATTATCATTGGTTATGACCAAGGCCTATGGCACAATGGAGGCGTATCACACGTGTAACTATGCAATACGCTGTCCACTGGCTTGTCACCACATTAGATACAGAAATCTGATAGCACTGGGATATAATAACAGATGAACAGCCACAAAAATCGTATATCTTATGAGTTGAAGCTTGTGGAATTGTTTCCAGATATTAGTTTTGTATGCAATTCAAAAATAGACAATGTATTGCCCAAGTGAAATTTGTCTTCTTCTTCTGACTCTCCTGCCAGGTATGGTATTGTTTTATTATGCAACCACATTTATAATATGCTGGAAATGATTCATTTTCATAGATAATTTGGAATCATTCATTCCCTAGCAACAAGCATAACAATTTAGTAGGAGCTCTCGGACAACAATGACATGCTCATACAATGACCTTGAAACAATGACTAAACTTTGCTCCATCTTATAGATAAGTGTGTGGGTGAAGACAAGGGTTGTCCATGACATGAGACATGGTGTATCTATATAGCTGGCATGTGCCATGATGTATAGACACAAGCCAGAGGATTATTTCACAACTTGTTTTGATAATCTGTTACTTTCCTTGGTTGAGTCTGCATGAAAGGTTTCCAATTAATAATATTAAGGATCAGGGATTTATCTATGATACAAAACTGCAAGTGCTGTAAGAAAAAAATAGAAAAGCATTAATTTGTTTCAAAAATATTCTTTCCACCATTTCAAGGATATTTGAAAATTTGATGTGTGCAAAATGTAAAATTTAGTACTTGTGCCATTTCCCTTTTACGGGTCCCGTTATCAGAAACATAAAAGTCACCTTTATGATTATCATGATTATACTGGCATAATACAAAAACTGGTCCAATTCAAACACAAGCATTCATTCAATAATACAAAACCTGGCCCACTGCAAACACAGGCAATCACTCAAAAATACAAAATACAAAATCTGGTCCGCTGCGAACAAATTCACTGTTTGGAATGTTAAGAGTAACCGCTTGTTTAATGTATTTGCACATTGTTTGTTTTTTTCAGGATTATTATGATAGTTGCTTGTATGGAATATTAATATTGTCAACTTAGTTTTTACTGTTCCCATTCAGTTTCTGCCCTGAAGTATGAGACTGGGAAGACATACAAGTATTCATACAGTACATCAGTGTTGTTTAACGACCTGGACAGTCGGAGGGAAACCAAGGCTCAGAGGGACACCGGAGTACAACTTTCTCTGGGGTTGGACATCACACCCCTGTTGCAGGAGGATGAGTCACAGCTGTTCAAGTTGAAGGTTGGTTACATATTCAGTGGACAGATCTGTTTGTCAGGCATAAATAAGGGACAGGTCATAGGATATTTAGTGAGGGGGGGGGGGGGGCGGGGGTTAAAAGATTTTTGTTTTGAGAAAAGATTTTTGTTTTGAGAAATGCTGTTTCTCTTTTCATGTGTTTTACTAACAAAACTGTACAGAGGATGTCTTTTGATTAAATGCTTGTGAATCACACAAATTTGTTTCCTCATCCTTTCAGAGACAAAATAATATATCTCAAAGCCGTAACCAAGATATATTCTGTCTTAATCAAAACTCCCATTTGTCCATGTGTTTACCATGTTTACAGGGTTGAACAATCATGTAATTTTCATGATTGTCGAGGAACAGGGACTATACACCTTAGTCCTATGCCCATTGTGATCAAGGTCTAGTGACTTTTGTCAAACTGAGATATTTTCTCTGTGTGACTATGAGATCCTTAACTGCCAGACTCACATAATATACCAAAGAAACATAGTTAAGGATGATGAATATTTTCGGTGAGATATTTGGGTATTGATGACAGAGCCCAGAATGTCATAATAATTTCCCAAAAAATGTTCATGATCTCAAAAAGATTTTTCAGTATAGAATGTGAAAAAAATGAGTTTGGGTGACTTGAAATGAAATTTGCTAGGTCTGTCAGTTAGCCTCAACGTAATCCCACTTTAACTCTATGACAACATTTAAAGATGAGACAAAACAGTCACAACAAGTTTGTGATACGTCAGTGCAATATTTCAAGACTATGAACATGCTTAGTCTATAATGCAGAAGGACCAGTAAAGACTAACGCCCCAAAATATTGATATGGTTCTTATCACATTTATGGAACAATCTGAACCTACAGAATCTGTTAACTTTAGTCACAGATCCAAAGTCTTGAGACAGGAATTAAACCTGACAAGCCTATGGACAGGGCTTTAAGTCACTTGTACATGCACATGAATCTTGGTTGAGACTGAGGAAGCGCCCTCTATCTCATAATGTCATTAATATCCTTATTCGATGTATAGAACCCTGAACTGTGCTGTCTTACTTCACTTCTGCTTGACAACGATATAAGGATCTATTCCGAAACGCCGCAGAATAATACAATAAAGAAGTTGCCATCCATAAATTTATCTTGTCTTTACTGTCACTT